TATCATGCACGATACCATAAAACTGCGTCCACTGCTGCGACAGACTTGATGTCGTGGAATCCACGAGTTCACCCGGGGCATGATGAAGAGAACCAGCTTGAACGCGCAACTTGGTTGCAGTGTAGACTTCTTGAGACCATGCCCAGACACGCAAAGGCGAACTCTGAACAGCATATAGGCTGCTGTAGGAATACGAGCCTAAAACATCATCCCAGTACCAGATGTCATCGTTGAGAGGGACAATTTGATCCAGGAGTGTGTTGAGAACAACGCCATGGAGTTGAATGGTGGCCTTACTCACAAGCAGCCACTCAAGCTCGTTCTCATAAGGGCTTTTAGCTTCATCGCCTGGCTGTGCCTCTCTCACTGAGAGGTGGGCAGATGCAGGGATATCAGATGATATGAGAAGATGCCTGATGCGCCATGCCGGCAGAAGAGGTTGCGAGGATGATGTAGTACTCAACGACTGGATGGTACGGAGCAAGTGATCAAGACGCGGTGATGAGAAGGCAGCAGCTACAGCAAACCCATGCTCTTCGGTCTCTGACTGATCATCCTCTGAAGCAACTTCGGATAAAACTGGAAGACGGTCAAGGTAGGCATCCAGCCGCCGTACTTGACTATAAGCAGGGTTAGTAACTCGACGGATTATGTAAGGTGAGGGGCAATAGTAGCAGGGCCCAGGTGTTGAGGTTGACGAACTCGGAGACAAGCGTCATGGTAGGACCAAGGATGAGCTTGCTTAGATCTGGTAACGACAAGGCTGGTGTGTGAAGCACGGCATCTGTCAGCAGCAGCCGAAGTTGCAGAGAGCAACTATAGACCGGGGATAACGCGGAATGAGACGGGACGGCAGCTCCGAAAAATCGGTGGAGAGCTCGGCGAAAGACCCGGGGGTGACAACGACGACGAGGGCGGTGCCAGCAGCTTCTCGGCCGGATGATGAGCGCCAAGTCACGGGGGCTCGACGGAGAATTCGGAGCAGGGCTGTGCAACGGGCACCGGGGCGTCGAATCGCGTGTGGATGGAAGCGAGACGAGGGCGAGAAGTGTGAGTGTAAGCTTGAGCTTGAGCTTGTACCTCAAGCTCCAAACACGAATGCGGGCGGGAGATGAGCAAATGTGGGGAACGTTTATTGCATCATGCCACACGGATCAGCTCAGCCCGGCTCCGTACATGAGAAAACAACCAAAAAACGATGCCAGATGCAGAGTTGAACTGGGATTGAATGGTTGCAAGGCTGACACCCGTTGTAATCATCAATTACACAGCTTTCCTTGCACAATGCATTGCATAATGATCTAACCACAATATGACGTTTCACAAGCTTGGAAAGAAGGTGTGGTTGTTGATTAGAGACTTATTCGTATTCGGCAGCAGTTCACTCAGATCTTATTGCTGTCCAAATGCGTAGAGGGAATACCATGATCAGCTGTGGCTATGAGTGTGTTCTCTGAGCATATGTTTCCAATATTACGATATTCGAGTTTGATTCTCTATAAGAGAATATAGAACCGTCATGCTACTTTGCTTTGATTGGCTTTGCTTGTTGATAGCAAGTCTCTCTGCGCAGATACCAAGTGAAGTGAAACCCTGATATACTGGAGATAAGTTGCCTGTTGTACCCGCCGGCCTATCTTGGGATCCAACCTGATAGACCTAGCTTGCAACAGTTCCAGGACATATAGCACCAATATACAAGACGAAGCAGTCACTGGCATAGAGACTGATAACAAAATTCGCAGACTAACCTAGACCCTAAAAATGGAGACCGTTTTAGACGGCACTGGCGTTGAGGTATCCTCGTATTCGGATTATGCTCAAATACCGAGTACGGGTGCACTAAGCCCAAGCTGGAATGCATATGTACTTTATCTAAGAGCAAATGAACATAACAGAACAGTGAATACCAAGTCATACCATCTTATGTCAAAAAAACAAATGTTTCAATTACAAGGTGCCCGATTGGATGTAACGGAATACATGTGAAGAGATAATCAAGAATCGCTGCAATTGCAACGACTTCATCATGTTAGCGAGAACGAGCGGGAGAGGCGTAGAAAGAACGTGCAGAACTTCTAAAAATCGAGAGCCGAAAACGAAAAAGAAGCACGCCTCATGAGATCATCGGAACTGGGCGATTGGTGCAAGGGGCGGCTGATTCTGACCCAGTAGATCGGTTGATAATCTAATACTTTGCCCCTGGCGCGATCAGCACTCCATCGATGAGTAACCATCTAACTAAAAAATTTGGCCGCAAAGGCCGCTTCTCAACCCGCTGCTTAGAACACACCACTTTCTCCAAATCTCTCGCGTCCCGGGAGAGCGCCATCCGATGGAGTTCTCACGGCAATGCTTTGTTTAATGAGATCCTAGACTGAAAATCCCTGTGTTGAATGTTGCCACTTGATCCATACAGGACGCGTCCAATGTAAAAATCACCTGTTGTGATTAGGATAGGGACATGCCAGAAACAAGGGTGCTCCAGAGACTGAAACATGAGCACTCTGTGTTATTTTGTGTTACAGGAACCAAATCTAGATCAATTCAATATCCGTAAAAGACGTCGCTCGTAGGCCAATCACAAGTCGTGGCAATGGCCGAATTGGGTCTGATTTCGATCTTCACCGCTTTCAATGGCAGTGTGTAAAGAGACGGGCTTGTCCTTCCTCAAAGTGCTGGACCCTTGACAAGGGACGAAAAAAGGACAACACCAGGGACCTCGAAATGATCTGAGAATATTCCTCAAATTCCCGTGAGATCCCCGTAAAGTCGATAAACACACATACGATTCTTTGCAGGCGGTGACAATGCTAAAGCGATATGTATTCGCTTTGACTGGTGCAGAGGCATGTAGATGGGCCCGGAAGCCGGGAGGACAATTTGATAGTGGTCTCATTCTGGAACCATTGCTTTCTTCCATCTGGTATCGCGCACAGACCAACAAAAGCCCAGGGGTCCTGTGTCGTGAATGGCTGGCTGTCACAGGGCCTGGGAGATTCACATTACCATCTTTGGCTTACAAGGTGTGTGAATGCTCTGTTGAGGCGTCGTTGCTGGTGCAATTTTCGCAACGGTACGTACCGAGACGGCGCAAAGAGCAGGTGGTCCGTTTACTTTCTCTGGCTGTAAATCTCCGTAAAGTTAGTGAATTGAATGCCTGTAGTGGGCGTGTGGCCAGGCCAAGGCCCGCCGCCCACCATTTTGGATGGGACCCCCCTTAGAGATTCTCTGGGCCGGGCAATCGAGGAAATGATAAAACCTCCCCAACAGCCGCCGTCTGTTCTCCTTTTCACTCCGCCATCACCATTGCCAACACTCCTCTTTTATAACAAGAGCCGCCTCTCCGACGACTCTTGACTGGACCCGGTGCTTGCTGGTGTCTTTCTTCTTTTCCTAGAGGGACCCTATTCAGTCTACTTTGCCATAAGTTTGCCAACTTCACCATGGATGCGCTGTGAGTAGCCTCCCTGATATTGCCATTCGAACACACCAATGTTTTGAACAGCCCCCTCTAACAATTTCTGCAGAAACGCGACCACGTTCGCGTCCTTTAACCAGACCAAGGACTACTTTGTTGTCCTCGAGGAGGTCTCTAAGTACAATGTCCAGCTCAACATTGTCGAAAAGCTCTGGGCCGTACGTCCAACCCGATCCAACGTCGCGAAACCACAACAATACTAACATTAAACTCAGGCTTGGTATCTCTGGATGCAGAACGACACCCTCGCGACCGGCATCATGAGTTTCGTCCTTCACGAGCTCGTCTACTTCGGCCGCTGTATCCCCTACATGATGATGGACTACATCCCCTATTTCCAACAATTCAGAATTCAGAAGCAAAAGGTTCCTACTCTCAAGGAGCAATGGGATTGCGCCGCCATTGTTCTTATCAGCCACTTCACCGCCGAACTTCCTCAGATCTGGTTCTTCCACCCCGTCGCTACCTACCTCGGTATGGACTACGGTGTGCCCTTCCCTCCCGTTTGGAAGATGGCCCTCCAGATCGCTATCTGCTTTATCATGGAGGATGCTTGGCACTACTGGTTCCACCGTGCTCTGCACTACGGTCCTCTCTACAAGGCTATCCACAAGATGCACCACACCTACTCTGCTCCTTTCGGTCTCGCCGCTGAGTACGCTTCGCCTATCGAAACAGCTCTCCTCGGAATTGGTGTTGTCGGATGCCCCGTTGTCCTCCTTGCCATCACTGGCGAGCTTCACCTCTTCACCATGTACACCTGGATCGTCCTCCGTCTTTTCCAGGCCATCGACTCTCACAGTGGCTACGACTTCCCTTGGAGTCTGCGACACTTCCTCCCCGTCTGGGCCGGTGCTGCCCACCACGATCTTCACCACGAGAAGTTCATTGGCAACTACGCCTCCAGCTTCCGCTGGTGGGACTACTGCCTGGACACCGAAGCTGGTGCCGAGGCTCACAAGCGCCGTCGCGAGAAGAAGCTTGCTCAGATCAAGGCCAAGAAGGCGCAATAGAGTGCTGCAAAGAAAGCCTGATACGACGACAGATAATCGATTGCGGTGAATCGAGTCCGACTCAGGGATTTCACGACCGGAAATAAAATGAAGGAGGTGTGGATCATGAAAACTTAGACTGTTCGCAAACCGGGCATACATTGTCTACGTCGCTTAACTCGCGGCTCGAGCATTCGCATGGCGTTGGGGATGTTAACCAAGAACGACTTTTTACGCTTGTATATAGAAACTTGCCCCGGAGAGGCTTTAGACAAATTTAATCATCAGCATCGTTCGTTGACTTTCAACCATACCATCACCAGTAACCATCTATATGTATGTCATGACACCTGGTCATGATCGCAGTGACGTAGTGGCGCAGTTGTCGGAGTTTATCATGATCATACACGCGGCCACATGGGCTTGTTGATACGTTTCTGACAAGCTGGATGCGTAATTGGGAGAAGCGACCGATTTCTGCCCCGCAGGAATTCACTTCGCATCATTTCAGATCAGCTGTACCCTCTCTATTTCCTCTTGGGGGTACAGCAGTCTCCTGCCGCCCCAGCTGCGCGGTCCGCCAACCCGCGGATAGCACAGCTCTGGTCTTCCGTTTCGGCCGCAACTGGGGCGGTCGGCTCCGGAGGCAGCTCACCTAGTTGTTTTGCGAGAGCATCACATTCGGCAGCCATGCTTATGTCCTTGTCCGAGAGTCCAGCTGGATTATGGGTTGTCCAGCGGACGAAGGTTGTGTTATAAACCTTAAATGCGGTTAGCTGCATGATAATTGACGTGCAAGCTGAAGAAAAGTTTACATTGGACCATTCGGGATGGTGGTTCTTGATTTTGCATTGCAGAGATACTCCTGTCATGAAGTCCTAAGACTCGTTAACTCTGATGGAACTCCTCAACATCCGTACTTCATGGTGGTTCAACTATTTGAGTGAATTTCAGTATCACCCTCTCAATGGCATACCCATGTCTTTGCAAATGTCTTAAACTTGAACTGTCTCTCTAAGGCAGCACCATCCTTGGTAAGTGTCCATCGTCCGCCCTCGGAAGTGAGTGCTTTAAGCGCAGGCGTGACGCTCGCGGCATCAGTGCCAGCAGAGAATTGCGGTTGAGCCATCGTCGAAGCTAGACGGGAAAGAGATGGAAGATGATGTGAGATATGAGAAGGGCGCATTGTAGGGCGACCGAGGGATGAGGTTGTAAGTGAAGGTGGGTTGGAGGATGAGGCTGAAAGGATTGATTGATGAGTGGCGGAAGGGGTCCAGATTATGAGTACTTCTGACATAGAGTGGGACTGGCCGCGGCATAAGTACCCACTAACATATCATATATCCAGGTCGACTAATACCGAACAGCTCCAAATACGTAGGGTTATGTCTTCTTTTACTGCCATCTGAAGCTAGGAATTAAAAGTAAATTTCGACACCATTATCAATTGATTGATCTTTCGATTCGAAGTGCTTGGCTGCCTGTGTGCTGTCATACACCGATGGTCCCCGAGTTCTGGCTCAACAATCTCACAACCTACAGGGACTATCAATGTGCACTAATGTGCCATTCTGCGTATTCGACCTGAAAAGACTTAGCCCAGGCCAACTAAGAGGTTAGGACTGGCAAGCCTCATCAGCCTAGGCGCAAAAGTGCTCCAGTATGTGATACATGTCCATGGCAATGACCAGGAAATGAAGCCCGAGCTAGTGCAAACGCTGCACACCCTCACTGGATATTAACAAGCACCTATAACGGCTAAAGGAGTATTGGTAATTATGTCCGCCGGTCCTTTTTATATCACAGCAGGACGATTCATGAGCTTGAGAGCTCGACCAAGCTGGATAAATCGTATGTTTGATCGGTCCTAACTTGACACTGACCGGAAGAGTCGGAAGTGACGCCAATATAATTGGATATAGTTCTAGAGATGGATAAATTTAAGCGTCTTGGCTGTTCAACAGCATGAGGAGATCGATCTAATGTTTGAAGTCTCATGGGGTCCAGGCAGGCAAGAATGTGTCGCTACCCAGCAGGCTTAGGTAGCATATTCTGACATGGCGCGGAATTGTCAAACAGATACACGTTTCGCCCTGTCAGGATCAGTAGCCCCAAGAAATCATCAGAGACCTGTGTTTGAGATGAAAGTAGTGAGACCAAAGAGGAGTCATCGAGCGAATGGAATAAGCAGTCCTCAAGGGGCAAGAAAACACCGAACCTACCTAGCTATAGGGTGTTAAAATAAACTTAGTAAATAGTTACCTAGCCTTAGGCTAAGTTTACCTAAGTATTTTTATTACCTAGGATCAAGGTCCTGAGTTTTCTTTCCTCTCCTAGAAAGTGTCGTGTGGTGTTGTGGTGTTTATTGGGTCGTATAACACGAACAAAGTTCTGTCGTTTTTCACCAATCAATAGCCTAGAAAAAACAACCCTACACCGCACAGAAGTAGCTCAGCTCGATTCGTGGTTATGCATGATTTTACCGCAAGATTCGAGGTCGTATTATGTGGTTATACGCCATGAATGTCAGATCGAAAGGACCCCGAAGTCTCAAAGCCAGGACTTTCCAGAATAGGACTTTTATCTCGCGAGTGGGGTCGCAAGCTCACGAGGAAGGTGCATGACTGGCATGGGCGGGTGCATGCATTTGATGCCTGAGGTGGTCCAAGCTCCTTGCTTCTCTTCCAGTTCTGTCTGCTCAGGTTTGGTTCGCTGACAAATATTTTCTCTGCTGCAACAACGTTCCCCTCTCCCCATCAGTCAGCAAATCTATCCAATCTTTTGGCTCAGACCCCGTCGTTTATTCCCATCGCGGCCAGTATCAGAAAGTTCAGAACTACCGGTGTCGGGGTAGAAGGGAAAGAAATAGAAGAAGGCAAGCCGAACAGGACTTTTGACTGGTTATTGCCCGGACTCCGAATTCTCCTCAACTGAACCGGCTTCTTTGTACAGTTTACGCGTCTTTCTCTGCCCTTCAAATTAAGAACACAGTAAATATTACCTGTTGAAACGGGCTCCTTGACTTCTAATACAGGATATAACAGCGGTCCGCGTACATTCTTGGGGGGGCGCTTCCCGCACCAGCCGCAGAAATCGTCGTCAGCACTTACGCTTGCTTTAGGGAGCAAGATAAATTTGATCCCAGCAGAACGAGGAACGGCTCCGTACGTACAGTACCGTACTACGTAAGTTAACAACTGCCATCAGAGTTCGCGAGACGAGCAAGCCAAAAACAGAAGCGAACAATCCAAGCGAGCGATAACCAAATCGTTCTAGCTCCTCCAGGCTTAGACTCGTCTAGTTGGTCCAGCAAGCGGAGAGAAGAAGCCTCCCCGGCCCAGCCACGCCATTTTCCGACTTGATCACCACTCACAGTCACACTCGAAAGGTCCCGGATCCAGGTTACATAATCCGTCGTCCATCCGCCGGAACTCTCTCCTCACTCGTCTCCGTCAGTCAGCGTCAGGTCCCCCCCCTCGTTGTAGTAATCATCATCGCCCGCCCTGGGTCATTGCTACTTGGATGCTGAGTCAGACTCTCCTTCCCCAGAGCTCAAGCATGCAGAACTCCTCAGCCAGCGGCGCCAATAATCAAGGTTAGTCAAGACAACTCTTCTTCTCTCTTTTCCTTTCCTGTTTTGCTTTGCCTATTTCCTTGTCTGAGCGCGTCTTGGTTCTTGATTTGGACCTACAGCTCTGTCTAATATCTACACTATACTACGCCTCACTTGGGCCTTGGTCCATCGCGACTTCCATAGAGCTCCTTGCATCTGTCTACTGTTTGAATGGCATCCTTGTCGCGTCATTTGCGCAATCCCATATACAATACACTTAGAGGTTCTTATCCTCAACAGTTGGATCCGATATTTGTTTCAACCACCTCGGCTTCGCGTCTGGTTCAATTACTGTTGACGTAGGTGCTGGGTGCATTGGCTAATACCGACCCCTCCACATAGAGCAGCATTTGCGCGCACAGCTCGAGCTCCTGAAGAGCCACGACGCGACAGGCTCATCCTCACCCACTCCCCCCGGACCTCGTGAATCTCGACCTTTACAGCCCGCTCCTGCGCGGCCGGCGAATGGCTTCGATCACTTGTCCAGTCCCCAAGACCAACATCGAGTTCTAGCCACGAAAGGCGAAGTTGAAGCTCACATTCATCCTGATCTTCGCGCGCGAGCCAACCACGCACCGACAGCAAGCATGATGCCCATTGTTCCTCCGTCTGGACATAGTCCAGGCGCATCTGCTGGCCCGTCAAGCGCTGCACTTGCTCCAGCGCCCCCAGCGCCTTTGTCGGCAGACGATCATATGGGAGACGGTCGTAAAGCAAAGCGGGAGCTATCCCAATCCAAGCGCGCAGCACAGAACCGAGCTGCACAAGTAAGTCGCCTGATGATGACTCGTTGACTGGCGCCATCACGTCACCTTACAATTGAGCTTCTGGGCTAACGATTCATCATCAGAGAGCATTCCGACAACGAAAGGAAGGCTACATAAAAAAGCTGGAGCAGCAGGTACGCGATTTCACGGAGATGGAACAGTCTTTCAAGGCAATGCAGGCGGAACATTACGCGCTTCGGGAGTATGTCGTTCACTTGCAAACGCGGTTGTTAGAGACGTCAGGCGACTACCCCCCACCCCCACCGAACGTGAACCTTGCTCCTGCTCAGCCAGCATCGGCTTCAGCTATAGCAGCTCCTGCTCCTCATGCCGAGCCTGCGCCCAGTAATCCAGCTGCAGGAACACCTTTGGAGGCTGTTGCGCAAGCCGTGGCTGGTCTTGCGGCTCAGGAGCAAATTGAGCGTCAAAGGTATCCCTCGCCGCATTTCAAGGCTGAGCCTTTCAAAGTTGAGCCCATTGCTGAGGATACAAGGACTGCTGATGAGATCAACAAGCAATTGCAACACTCGGAAGAACCCCAAGCACAACAACCAGCGGTCTAGAGAACCGCATGATATCCATGTGCGCAGGGCTCTGCAACTGTTATTATGGCGTTAAGGTACTGATTGTCTTGATTCAATATCTATAAAGAGAGGGGCGTTTGGGTCTGTTTATGTGAAAGAAGGGCTCCTCGATCATACCATGTAGGCTTCGCTTGGCAAGTCCTGCTACTATTTACCTGGGCTGTCACGTTTACGGATGATATCACCAAGACGGTTATAGTTCGTTAGTTCAGATACTGTAATAAAAATAAGTGTCCCGGAAAACACATTTAGTGCGGAGCAGCTGTCTGACGATTTTGCTTGAAACTGTCTATCGTGTTCCCCTTTGGCATCTTTTTACTCTTGACAAGAGATCCGTGATTAAGTCAACATGTAAATTATTCTCATACCCCGAACCGCTCCTGATAAAAAAGCTCGCCTTTGACTCCAGGTTTCCATCACTATACAATTTAAGCATACGAGTTACCCATGTCGTGTTCCTATACATATTAGTAAGAGCATGCCGCTGTGGAATAGATTTGGACAAACCTTGATGTATTCTGGACCCTTTTCTTGGTACTCTTCTTTAGAAATTTTTGCTGACTTCCAAGCGGATGTACCCACCCATCCAGCCGCTCCCTTCCAAGCATCTAACAGGGCGTCTTCGGCACGACGGACGGTCAGTGGTGAATCAGCGGGGAGGAGAGAACGAAGACCCTCGCGAACACGATCATCAAAGTTCTTGAACAGAGTGTTACCGCCTGTCAAAAAGACGTCGCGAAGGAAGTCATCGCGGTTAGGGACATTGCCGAGACGCTGGTTGAGGATATCACCGGCTATCTCAACGATGCCTGACTGGTCGACACCAGCAATGGAGGGGCGGAAGACAACCTCGGGAACACGGATTCGCTCAACGTTGAGGTGAATTTGGCTGAGCTCGGCTTGTGAGGAGGGGTCGAAAGGTCGGGGACCTCGGGCAAAGGCGTGCAGGAGAGACTTGGACCAGTCAGACTGGGCTTCGTGGGTGTGCTCGTACTCAAAGTCAGGATCGTAACGTAAAAGGTCCTGCTCTAGTGACTTGAGAGTCAAATGGAGGTCTTCCTCCTCATGCTCGTCATCACTGTTGTCACCAACGGCGATTTGGCGGTAGACACCCCAGTCATCATCGTCAGCACCAAAATTGTCATCATCACCGCCACGTCTTCGCTTCTTGGTCGGATTGTCCGATGCGAGATTGGCGATGCTTTTCATGCGAATCTGAGAGGCGAGGGATTTACGGTTGCCCAGGTCCTGCTTTAGTCGCTCTCGTTCCTTCATTTTTTGCAGCGTCTCAGCACGTTGTTGACGCTTCTCATCGAGCCAGTTCTCGAGGTCATTCTCTCGTCGTTCAGTATCGGCGCGCTCTTCCTCAATGACACGAGCCTTCTCCGCTTCCTTCTCTGCCTTCGCACGTGCTCGAGCCTCGTGATTGGATTTGAGGAGGCGCTGTTGACGCTTTTGCTTGATCTGGGCCTCATCAAGCTGGTCGTCGGGGACGTCAAGAAGATCGAAGTTAGGTTGTTCTTGCTCCTCCTCTGGATCACCACCAACGTCCTTTGTTCGGGCCTTCTTGATGGCCTTCTCTAAATCTTTGATGATCTTTTCCAATTGGTTCTCATCTTTAATGTCGTTGCTGTCAAGTTGACGCCGAATCTCTTTCTTGGTCTGATCGGTGATGTTTCTTTGCAATTGCTTGTAGTATTCCAGATCTTGCTCCTTCTTCATCAGTTTCTCCAGGCGCATTTTAGCTGCCTGTTGTTGAAGTCTTCGTCCACTCTCTTTCTTGCGCTCCGCTATCCTGGCCAGCTCTTCTTCACTCTTCTGCACGATCACTTCTTCTGTGAAGGGATATTGTAACACAATATCGCGATCCTCGAGCCCTGTCCATTCGAGATAATTGGCGAGCTCGTTGTCATAGTCCCGAGATACGTAGCCATGGTCCCGTAGCATGTGTTCTGCCTGTGAGACGTTAAGCTTCCCAGCGAAGGCCGGGTATTTGAGTCGAATGAGTTTGAGAAGGTATTCGGCGTTGTGATAGCCTCCCCAGTTCAATCGTGTGGCTTGTCCGAGTAAAGCTTTCGAGTTGTATACAGGAATTACATGAGTGGATGTGTATGATGACGAAACCACGAGACCAGTCTTGCCCTTGTTGTGTCGGTATGAAAAGAGTGAGTCGATTCCGTAGGCTAGCGAAGGCGCGCCGTAGCATTCGAAGATGATTTCAGTCATGGCTAAGAACTTCAGTATAAGCTTGCGGGAAGGAAGCGTTCCACATACATTTTCTTGAGTAAGGCAGATTGGCAACAGCCTCTGTCATGACAATTGGCACTTCAATGGCACCGTCCGCATCATTCATGCCAAGTTTCAGGAAAATGTAATCGAGGACATGCTCCATCACATCCCAATTACTGACAATTCCTGTACCAGCCTCGAAGGCGCCTCGGATGTGACCTCGCGCGGTCGTGTCGGCATAGCAATCTGAGCCAGCAAAAGAAAAGGTCTTGCCCAGTTTTCGGTCGCGGTATTTGGCCATAATCGGAGGGATGCTGAACCTTGGCTTCGAATCGAAAGACCAGCCGGCGCGCACCGCAGACGATCCTAAAGGCGAAATGTCAATTGCTAGCCATCGCAAACCCCTTGCGCTCGAAGCTCACCATTATCAATGACGATAGCAGCGCTATCAGGCTGCTTCAAAGCGCGTTCGCGGCCATCCGTTGTAGGTTCGATGTAATTCTCGAAGCGTGTCTCCTTGACGGGGAAGATCTTGGCGGGAGGATATGTCTTTTGTTCGGGCGCCTTGATGGCGGGCTCATCGATGGCCGAGGGAGCCATGATTGCGAATAGGATGGTCAGATGGAGTTTACAAGTAAGGGACAGAAGTCATGGCGGGAGGAACAAAAAAGTTTAGGTTGGTCGATGTCTGACTCTAGTGGCCAATTGTCTGTCAGACTCGCAAAATACGGAGCTTCGTTGTTGGAAATTGAGAAGGTGTGAGGCTACAAGGCTGATCTAGGCCGTGTCATTCAATCCCGGGGATCCACTTACGCGACAATGCAAGTGATGCAGTGAGAGACGACACTATTGACCTCCATCCCAATGTGCCGAACACGTTCAGAGATTGTAATGCCTTCAAAGAAGCAAGTCAAGGCTCCATATCAGATACCTTCGTTGGCTTGCTCCAGTCACATATTTGACGATGCACTGTCAAGCATGGCTTGTCATCATTTCAGACAGGTTTATACACATGGTAATTTGGGCAAACAGTAGGCAGGTCAAGGCAAGGGTAGTAGGCAAGCTTGGTTCTGGTAAAGCAAGCCTCCTGTCAAATTCCTTGCAAAACTTCCTTGCTATGTTGGAAGAGTTGGCAGTAAGTCATTATCTCATGTACAATCATGCGCCATCATAAATGCAAAAACTCCAGCCTTAGTCTCACCCATGTCAACACTCAGTTCGGCGGTTTAAGGTTGTCCGTGGCTAACCAATATCATCAGCCGTCGCGTTCACATCACCATACAAAAAACACTTACCCTCCAGATGAAATAGAACGTTCGATTGGTAGTTCTTGAACATTTGTGCAACTAATTCAACGTTCATGTTCTGAATGTTGATGTCCTGAAGTGGCTTATTAGTCATGCCACTGATGTGAAATGCGACTCTACTGACCTGAAGACTCTTATTCATAACAACGACAGCTTCGTTGAGCTTTTCCTGCATGCCGTTAGTATCCATCTCTTACAAATTCAGCTTCGCAGAACATACTACATTGGTGATGATACGGGAAAGCAGTAGGTTCTGCTGATGCTCATGAGGGGATTCCTGTAAACACGTCAGGCAAGGCTTCAGAGCGATATTTTGTCGCAGCTCTCATGAATCTTACCATTTCAGCGGGCTATCGGGTTTAAAGTGATAGAAAGAGCGCTTGTGGCAGTATTCTTTGTTGGCGTAGTGCTTCTGTTTACTTTATGCCATGTTTGGGCATCTTGCTGCATGTCAGTCTTGTCAGAGCTCCAAGCTAGGAATACGGTGAAACACGGCAGAATCTCCAACGCGATAAGCTCATGACAACGACAACCAAGAGAGACCTCAAGCCAAAGCACTTTCTCCTGCATTAATCACCGATTGTAAGCAAATCTATAAAGCCGTTGACACCCTTCGAGCCGAATTTGATAAATTTTCGATACCAGCTTCCAGAAACGAGACACAATGGCCGCCCCAACCGAGGCGCAAATCGCCCATCAAGAGCTTATAGAGAAGCTTGACATTCACTCCACCCATAAGAACTTCCGCAGTCCGACCTGGAAGCCCAACCAGCGTCGAAACAAGAACCTCAAGGCCATCGTCGGTGATGCTTCCCGAAGAGAAGCCTCAGCTCTTGGCACCCCGATGGACGCGAGTGGTATTGCTACACCAGCCGATGATGGACTCTCAACAAGCGGTACAAGCACGCCAGCCACCGAGAGCGGCAAAGAACCCCCAAATCTGGCACAAGCATCACGAAACCTGTCTAAGCTTGTTCTCGAGAAGAGCCTGAAACCGACAGGTGGTGTGTCTGCTCCAACGGCCACTTACACAAATATCGAATCAGCACCATCACTCGCGCATAACAAACATTACTGTGACGTGACTGGGCTACCAGCTCCTTACCTCGATCCCAAGACGCGACTTCGCTACCACAATAAGGAAGTGTTTGGCCTCATTAGGACGCTACCTCAGGGTGTGGCAGAGCAGTTCCTTGAGGCTCGTGGTGCTCACACGGTCCTTAAGTGAGCATGATTCTCACGTTTGGGATGCTCATTTAAAGAAATTACGAAAAACCTCAAGACTAACGAGGCCTGGGAACCTTTCATACGGGGTCCATGCGAGGAATCACCAGACATATGCACGTTGTACAAAGATACCATGTTTAAGAGTACAAATAGGAGTGTCCGACCAACAAAGTCAAGCCCCAACTATGCACCCTTAGCCTTTCGGCCAAGGGATGGCAATTGACGCTCCGGCTTAATCGTGATCATGAGCTTGTTCTCTGCCTAGGTCGACAGACTACCGAGAACGTATGGGGAAGAAACGAATCTCAGTTGCCAGGGCGAAGAACGCCTCTAGCCGTCGCGGCAGGGACAGGAAATCTGTCAGAAGAAATGTATAGCAAGCTATTCCATAGAGTGAATCAAACGTATTGTTTCTCAACGACCTTCTTTTTCTCTGGCAAATAATTAAAAAACCATTTGACAAGTCCTTGGTGATTTGCACTACAATCATATTGGATTGCCGTAGGCCAAGAGCGTTTAATTGTGAATCGTTTCCAACTCTCACTAGAAGATGAAGAAAGATGAAAGTCTCATAAAGTCGGTCCTCAGCAAAATTTCATGGAAGACAATCCACGCTCGCCCACTTTCCCGCTGCACAGCCAATAGCCACGAAGCAGCTCCAGGCACCACCTAAGCCCCGTTTGGAACAGCCCTGTCAATCGCATGTAAACCCCTGGAACGTGTCCTCGAGGGAAGCAGAGCTGGCGACGAAAAAAGGAAACATTTCAGTAATTTGACCTCAGTTATTTCTCCCTGCTCTCAATCCCGCCCTTTTCCTAGTCGAAGCTTCATTGTGCGCTTTACCATCGAAATAATCAGTACCGATCGAGTTTATCAATCAAATCAGCAATACACAGAACCGCAAACATGTCGATGTGGTTGACAGATACTCAAAGTACGCCTTATCTTACACTGGCACGCGAGTTGCGATCATAAGCACTGCAACGATGCGCTATCCCTTCGACAAGAGATTGCTCAATATGGACGAAAGCTGACGGTTTGCGATAGAAATTGGAGTTGTTTTCTGCTCTGGTGGTGCGTTTGCGCCTGCGCCTGCGTGGTCAAGATATGGAGGCTGACGTTTAGTCTAGGAGGCTTCTTCCTGATAGGAGGCGTCATGCTATTCTTCGACCGATCTATGTAAGTATTGACAGACTCAATCATCTAGTGGTTCTCTTTGCTGACTTCTATTCAGGCTTGCTATGGGAAATGTATGACAACCCCTTCCTTTCCTCTATCGTAGCGAACGAGCGATTGCTAACGACCGACGTACGAAACAGATCCTCTTCCTTATTGGCTTGACAATCATCATCGGACCTCAAAAGACACTTCTCTTCTTCGCCCGAAAGCAAAAAGCAAAGGGCACAGCGGCATTCTTCCTAGGCCTGATCCTGATTTTCATGAAGTGGACCTTTATCGGGTTTATCGTTGAAGCATACGGCATAGTGGTCCTGTTCGGAGATTTCCTGGGGACAATTGCTGGCGTTGCGCGAGGCTTGCCTGTCGTAGGGCCGTATATTGGAATGATCGCCGATAGGATAGGCCTTGGACGACGAAACGCCGAGCTTCCCGTTTAGATGCTCCTCTGAGTCTAGCAGGCACTTTTGTGCATCACCCGAACGAGAACAAGATTCATCACGTGTAAAAGGCATTCGACGACACACGTCTAACAAGAGTTGAATGGCGGAGTTCAAGAGAAAATATTGGGTTGGAATCGGCGTTAATGACATAAAGAACTATCATGAGTACCTATAATAAGGTGGACAAAGTACTGTACATCACGGATACGAGCGGAGAACAAACGATAAAAGCAGTTTTAATGGAGTCGAGTTGGCTGACATTTGATGATCATTTCAAATCTGGCATACAGGTGACAGGTTCTGGAGGGGCACTCGGATTGCCTATATGCAGAATCGTGTAGAAACAAACTCGTCCGACCGATTTTTGGTCAAATAAGGAAAATGTCCTCCCCCTGGTAACACACTCGAGCTCGTAGCCCAGTGCTCTAAAACAAAGGCGCTCTTCTCGGCATAAGCTCGTTATAGCTGCATTGACTGTCCGCTCCACGGACAAACAGCGTTTCCCTGGCGCTTCTCACAGTTGATTCCGTCCAGACCCTTGCCTCATACGCTGAATGTCTAGTATCCTGACTTAATGAGGTAGTCGGCAAGACCTTCGACGGTAGAGGTGGCGTTGCCAGCGACCTGGGCCTCACCATGGTGGCCGATGACGATGGCCTGGCCAGTCTTCGCAACAGCAACACCGAGGCGGCCCTGTTGTGATCAAGATGTTAGTCAAAAGAGATGGGATTCGTGAATTGGGCGTCGTACCGATCGGGCGTAGATACTCCGGTCCTCGGCTCGGGCCATAACGTAACGCTCGCCAGCAATGTAGAGACCCTCAGCGAAAGCCTTGTCCTTGGCAGCCGAGTCACCGCCAACGATGGCAGAGATGGCCTTCATCTCCTCGGGCTTGAGCTATAGTGGGGTTGCAAGGTCAGTTTTGTTCATTAACGAGGGGCTAGCCCATCGATCCGAGAGGTCAAGTCGGTGAAGGAGGGTGCCGTACCTGGAGGTCAGGAGAAGAAGCCCAAGCACTGTCGCCAGCGGCACTGATGATGGCGCCCTTGTCAATGTGACCGGAGCCGACAAGGCTATCGAGACGAAAAATGTCAGCATTCGATCGGTATTCGTGCCGGAAAGCATGATCATAGGTTATGATCAAGACTTATGGGATCGATTGTATATACCTTGAGTCGATGTATGCTATATCGATGGAAAAGTCATCATGTCAGCTTTTTTGTCCAGCTTCAAATTAGGGTTTCGAGATAGAGGTATTTGGAGGCGGTGATGAGAAACAAGGAGGATGGCGGGGGAGGGGAAATCGATAGCGGGACGGTGTAGGATAGTAGAGACGATGAGAAACTGACCTTGCCACGACATAGTGATGCGAGATGTGTGAAATTATAGGAACTAAGTGGTTGCAAGAAGGACGAGAAGGATGAGAGTTGCGACGCGAGGGCAAGAAGGTTTAGAGGTGAGGTTTGTTTTGGCGGGGAGGTTGTCGACTGCTCTGATGTGGTGATTCTTTGGAGCTTTGCCCCTCCAGGCCGCCATGAGTCCCCGCCAAAAAATGTTATCAAGCTCCAATGCTGTCCAATGAGTATTGGATACTTTTGTCGGTGACAGCTCATCGGTCATGGGACTGGTACTGTGTACTTGCAAACCCAACGGTTCTCAGATATGTCGGTCGGCATGATCAGCAGCAGCATGCTTTCATGTCACGCATTTTTCTGCATTCAGAGATCACTTGCCTGTGTGACGTTCGATCCAGGCACGCAGAGGCTGTTGACTCAGCAGTAAAAAGATGCGAGATCTTTTGACCTAACCTATACCTAGTAGCTGAGGAAGCTAGGTATTCAACTTTCGACGTCACTGTAGAGCTTGAACTGGCGTTGGAGCTACGGGAAACGACTCTAGACGGCCCGTTGCTACTGTAGACGGCAATATCCGCCAAGACTTCGTGTCCCCTTGGTCCATGTTCGCTTCAAGGAACGACCTAGCAGACGAATATTTACACCAAGAACTAATATCGCAAGAGTATCTAATTGTGGTTACGCTTAACGCCCACTTCACCGCCGCTGGTAATTGAGAGTTCGTTCAATATTTCATATTCGCATTAGTTGTCGTATGATGGAGGAGGCTTTCCGTAGCGCTGGCAATGTTTAGAGATCGACCAGATCAACTGCCGTCAAACATGGAGGTTCTGATTCTCGAACGTTGGTTGCTGAATCAATCAGCTTAAGCTTAACGCTATCTGACTCCATTAGGTTGAGGGCGGATTTCATCTGTTACAGCGACCATGTCTGTCTAAGTTATTGGAGAAACAGCCAAAAGTGTCTGTGAATGTTCCTGAGAGTAGAGGCCGTTCGAAAGCTCCAAGTCACTACGTCTGGTCATAACTGCTGGCTTTCATCATCAAGCAAGTATTTTGTAGCCGAAGGTCAGTCTTCAGAGTTGTATCTCGGTTATCCAAACACTTCTACGTAGTAAAACCAACAAACTTTGAAATGAGGCCTACGAGAGACGAACTCTAAGCGAAGCACAGGCCGGATATTGGTTGAAGATACTTTTTACTGACTCGACAGCAGCTCATCGACAAAGCTCCTAAGTGATATCCAAGCTCAAATACCCTTGGTGTTTCATGTCTTAAGAGACGTATTAAGAACAATAGCATGGCCGATAACTCAATGGAGCCGGAGTCACCCGTAGTGAAACAGACGTACGTCGCCATTCTCCTTCATCAAAGACACTCTGAAGCTTCGAATGTAACTCTTCTTGGCATGCTCAGACGACTTCTAGGAAACTGTCGGATGCCACGAACATACAATTTGTCTTCTCCAGGGTATGTGAGCCTGGTTTCCTCTTTGGCCCGTGCTGGTGGTTGTGCTACAATTGGAAATTGGCAATCTGAGACGAGTTGCAGAGACCCTAGCCGTGACGTGAAACGGCGAGTTGAATGGGCAAAACCCCCTGAGGATTATTTTAATTCATTCCACCTTTCTTACGACTGTATCGCTTATTGTTCGGTGACGATCCAATCACTCACAACGGAAGCCTTATATCCTCAACTTCCCCTTTTGGGTACATATTTCCACCCAGCCGATGTTACTGAGCACGGTCCAGACTCAGCTCTACAACCAGCCCTACTGTAAATTGGATGGATCGGGTGCAATTGAATCCTCCCGCTGTCTCTAAGTGAGATGAAGGACGTTGGACAGACGCGCCGAGTGAGGCCAATGGCCAGCCCACGAGCCGCGCGCAACGTAAGGTTCAAGTTCCGTGCCGCCACCTGGAAATTCTAGAAGACGGGTCAGCCACTTATTCGCTCACTGCTATGATTATCAGACTTCTGATGGGTGGTTGCATGCTTTGCAGTGGAGGTTTGCCTGCAGTAGTCTTCGAAAGCTTGTGTTTCATAGAGGGCTGTGACAGGGTGGATATCGTTTGGGATACTCCGCGTCTTGTTCCTCTAATCTAAAAACCAGCTCAGCACTTGCCCCATACTCGAGCATCATGCAAGTGCCGTTAAAGCAGTACGGCGCAGTAAATGAGGTATCGTACACGAGACCCTTCCGGTGCTCGTTGGCTGGGAGGAAGGTTACAGTGTTGTGTCAATACAGCCTAGCTGTTTGTCTTTCTTGCCAACGAACACATACAGGGATCGGATCCTTTTTCGTCCCTCGTTGACAGGTGACCACGGTTCAGTTCTCAGGATCGTCCACATGAATCGCTGTCACATTATGTCTGTGAGTCTTGCTGTTACAGAAGCGAGAAGTTACCAGCCTTGGCCGTAAGTCCGTGTGAATGGGTTGCGTGTGTCATCGGGATCAGCGTTGACGTTGAAGATCCCAGCAACCGCGTAGATTGCCGCGTTCGCCGACTGAGACACATCTTCTGTACGTGTACGTACCCATATCAAGACTTAAAGAGCCTCGTTCATTGCTATTATTATATAGCTAGCGCCTCTATTATCACCAATCTCGTACGTTACGTTGCGGCGGCTAAGGTTACTTCTAAGAAGCGCCACAAGCAGTGAAACCTCAACTAGACAACCAACGAACCGCATAATTATTTCTCTCAAAGCATTAAATGAACCTCCAGGTTTGACGACTCTGACACACGACACTGGGGTCTCTTAGAACCCCCAAGGGCCCACTCCTTGATATGCTTTCGACAGGGCCCCCCTGGACAGAGTAGTTCCTTGGCCATAGCAGCCGTTGCAGAGAATGTTGAAGCAATCAATGCCGTCGGGCGTTAAAGATTTCAAAGTCAACATTCAGGAACCGTCGTCCCATCAATCTCAAACGTTGACCAAAGCCTCTTAGCTTGTTTCCCAAGACCGATCCCTGTAAATGTCAAGATGGGGTGTCTCTTCAGAATCTCTGTCGTTGGACAGATGATAAGCTGACGTTTCTTCTCTCTCATTTTGCTTCATCTGAGGCGTGGCAACCAATCCGGGGATCGGCTCTTGGACATCGAAATTGCTCTTGCGCTTATTACATTCCATCCTTGCACTCCATCGTCATATAGGACCCAGTTCCCTGCTTGTTGCCGGTCGTTTAACCGCATTCGTCTCGATTCTCATCAACGGCTTCATACGATAGGCTTCCGTCAAAGGCGGGGTGGTCCCTGTGAGACGAGGGTCAGTTCTTGTCCAAAAATCATCGCAGGCTTTGTTTAAGAGGATCCTGGTCCCTGAGAAAGTCGGTCCTTGGTGAACCGTCTTCTGTGTCAGACCCTGTCGATGCAGGGAACTACTCAGTCAAAACAAAGGCCTTTTATCCTCTAAATCCAAGCATAGATCTCGCCCCCGCGCTGCATTGGGCTTTGCTTTGCTTCACCCACTGTTTGTGTGTCAATCTATTCTAGACGCTTTACAAAACGACCCCCTCGTGCGGTCGCGAGACATTTCAGTCATGGCTACAAATCTGTCACGGGCTGCTACTGTATCGGCTGCCTCCGGATATCAACGTCGTAGGGGAAGCTTCACCGCCGACTGGACAGACAGCCATTCTCTTTCCAAACATTCATTCGACAAACGGGTTTCCAGAGACGATCTTGCACTTATTCTCAAGAGCTCAAAGAAGGGCAACGTGACGGCGTTTCATATACCGATCCATGGCCGACTTCCATCCCCCGAACACAGCCCGCGAACCTCGTCACTGACGAGAACGACTTGGGTGCGAACTTCAACTCCGGATTCTATGATAGATTCTGGTGAGACTGGTGTTATTGCTGTTGGCATGGCAATTGGAAGTCCAACACAAATGGGAGACTTTGCGCCGGCGCCCTGGAATCCACAGAACAGAGCCATGAATGCAGTCGTCGACATCCCGGAACCGATGCCAGAGCCAGTGTCAGAGCCAGTCGATGACACCCAGCAGAAGGCTCGTAAATGGGGTCTTTTCCGATCAAAGTCGAAGCGAGCCACACGGCCAGAGAAGCCCCAACGATCTATGACGGAGAGTGTCAATACTTCTACCACATCATTAGGTTCATCTGGAATGCCGACTTCAGCACCAGCAGATCAGAGTTCACGAAAAATGCCAAAGCATAAACCGATCGTCCTTCGATCTCAAACTGAACCAATTATATCAGAACCCGCGCAGACGATTGCTGAAGTGCCCCGGTCGGTACCAACATCAGCGGAGGTGAAACCTATTTCGCCAGGAAAACTAACAAAGGAGAAGCCTGCCCTTCAGCGCAAGGCATCAAAGGAATCGAAGCTGAAGGATCCAGGTTCGGGAGGTATTGGCCGAAAAATGTCGCTAAGAGGCCTTCGAGGTGACTCTAGTAAGAAGAGATCAGAAAAAGCAATCGCACCGCCGCCTTCATCACCGCCTCCGATGCCTGCTATTCCTCACTCTCTGCTAGATGTTGAGATTCCTAGCATCAAGATGGATCGGTATAGTGTCATGTTTAACAGTGTTTTACAGCCACCCCAAGGGTCGGCCTCCTCACTTCTTGCTCGACGACAGGCTACTCTCGATCATCTGAAATCTGTGAAGGACGCTATCGCCGAGAATCGAGATGAGTCTCTTCGGCCACGGAGGGCAACATCGCCACAGCCCTCCCCAACCTTTGTTTCCCAGGATAACTCAAAGCCTTTACCTTCACCTCGGTTCCGAGCCAACACATCACCGGCTTTATTGGACTCATCATATTATCACTCAGAAGAGTCCCCTGAGGCAGTCACGCCAAGAGTCGCCCAAGTTTCGCGGTCAGAATCTCAGCACAACAAGTTCGCAGCGCAAGCTACGCATTATCAGCCCGCACTTGTCTCCAAATTCAACAGACGTCCCAGTGCTGCGTCTACGGATAAGATTAGCGTTACTTCTGCAAAACAGACCTCACCTCCTGTGCCCATTATCTCGCCCAAC